GCCACTAAATTCATGAAACCTGTTTGAAAATTTGTCACAATAATGCGAGTGAGGCACGCAAACAGCTGTGTGTATGCTTAAGGGAAATTACACATGATGGTAATTCGTTCAAGGATAAAGGGGCGGTGGGGTAGCCTAGTGGTTAAAGCGTCCGCTCGTCACGACGAAGGCCCGGGTTCGATTCCCCCACTTGGGTACAATATGTGAAGCCCGTTTCTGGTGTCCTCCGCCGTGATATTGCTGGAATATTGCTAAAAAGCGGCTTAAAACCATACTCACTCACTCACTCAAGTATAAAAGTATCGCTTTTTAAATGGACGTGGGACAAATCAGATCTACTACCTGTCGTATGTTGAACATTTGCGTCTAGAGAATATTGTATTTTATCATGATGTGGTGACTCACAACACTGAATATTCAGGGTGTCGTGTAAGCATAATGTTTCAAGTGTTTGAAAATATAAACCATGTTTGCAGTTGTTAAATGTATCTGTAAATGCCTATTTGAAAGTCAGTTCCGCTTTTGCATTGAGTAGGGGTGTATTCTGTTCAGGACGTTCCGCGACGTCCAAGAAATAAGAATTTACAAACATGGAACGTCCAGGAAATATGAAATATCCAACACAACATAGATATGTCGATGGGTTGTAGTTCAGTTGGGCAAACCAACAATGTCTGTGATTAATGGTTAGAGATTCATTGTCAGTGATTCAATATAGTAGAGCACCTTAACACCAGTGTGTTACATTGTCACATCACTGTGAGTGCATCAGACTGTCAGAACACCAGTGTGAGAGCATCAAACTGTCAGAAAACCAGTGTGAGAGCATCAGACTGTTAGAACACCAGTGTGAGAGCATCTAACTGTCAGAAAACCAGCGTGAGTGCATAAGACTGTTAGAACACCAGTGTGAGAGCATCTAACTGTCAGAAAACCAGTGTGAGAGCATCAGACAGTCAGAACACCAGTGTGAGAGCATCAGACTGTCAGAACACGAGTGTGAGAGCATCACACTGTCAGAAAACCAGTGTGAGAGCATCAGACTGTTAGAACACCAGTGTGAGAGCATCTAACTGTCAGAAAACCAGCGTTAGTGCATCAAACAGTCAGAAAACCAGTGTCAGAGCATCAAACAGTCAGAACACCAGTGTGAGTGCATCAAAATGTCAGAAAACCAGCGTAAGAGCATCTAACTGTCAGAAAACCAGTGTGAGTGCATCAAACTGTCAGAACACCAGTGTCAGAGCATCAGACATTCAGAAAACCAGTGTGAGTGCATCAAACTGTCAGAAAACCAGTGTCAGAGCATCAAACTGTCAGAACACCAGTGTCAGAGCATCAGACATTCTGAAAACCAGTGTGAGTGCATCAAGCTGTCAGAAAACCAGTGTGAGTGCATCAAACTGTCAGAACACCAGTGTGAGAGCATCAGACATTCAGAAAACCAGTGTGAGTGCATCTAACTGTCAGAAAACCAGGGTGAGAGCATCAGACAGGCAGAACACAACTGTGAGAGCATCAGACAGTCAGAACATCATTGTGAGAGCATCAGACAGTCAGAACCCCATTGTGAGAGCATCAGACAGTCAGAACACCATTGTGAGAGCATCAGACATTCAGAAAACCAGTGTGAGTGCATCAAACTGTCAGAAAACCAGTGTGAGAGCATCACACAGGCAGAACACAACTGTGAGAGCATCAGGCAGTCAGAACATCATTGTGAGAGCATCAGACTCTCCGAACACCATTGTGAGAGCATCAGACAGTCAGAAAACCAGTGTGAGAGCGCCACCGCGTCAGAAGTTCAGTGCACCAGTATTGTAGAGAACCTGAATGTCAAAGTACCTGTACCAGAGCATCAGAGGAGAAAATAACAGGGATGTTTGCCTTTCATGTATGTTGAGGTCTAAACTATACCTATTTCATCCGAAAGACTAATTTAGTATAAACTACATCAATATGTTGACACTACCACAAGAGTCCCTTTTAACCATGTCTCTATCCACTAAAGCACCAGCCAAGGAAAGTGTACAAAACATCTGACGTGTAATTACTACAATAATTAGGGGTTAAAGTAGGTGGACACTCCCAGATGGGTCCATCCAGCCAGGGCCCTCTCAACAGAAACACCAACCTAGATAGTGTACATAACATCTGTAATTGCTACAATGCATCCCGGGCTGTTTAAAAGGGGATAACTGTGTCTTCAAATACAGAAGTCCATCAGTGGGTCCACAACACTTTATTCGTGATTCAATGTGTAACACTACATGATGTTGTACAGCAATGACTAGGCGGCATTGGGGAGGCGATGGTCAGCCAACCTGCCTAACCGCTGTCCGAGGGTCAAGTCCCGACTAATACTAAGCATTCTCAATTTATCCCTGATCAGACTATCACGTGTCGTATTTGTGACAGATGTGTGGTCAGCCTGCAGTATCCCGCACCTCATCCACAATGTCTAACTTTGATTATATGCAGCTAATGACTCTATGGTGGTGGCCATGATGACAATGGTCAAGCTGTGTTGATTTCATTTCTAATGACAGCATGGTCATTACTTAGAGAGATATTCAATTTACATAACTCAAGGAATATTATAAATATCCCTGATAAACCCCGTTCCAAACTGCCTACGATAAATGATTAGGGATAAACCCCCACTCCCAAGGTGGGTGCCTCCATCCATGACTCTCTCCGAAGAAGCAACAACCTTCGAAAAAGTAAACTGCAACAGTAAGTAAACACCACAGCAGGAGTACGTGAACCCTTTCCCTATTCAACTAAAGCACAATCCTAGGGAAGTGTACATATCGATATGTTGAACCTAAACCATAAAACTGTTCATGCATCAGAACTTTGGGTTGAATATACATAACACTTCGTTACCCACCAACACAGATGTCAATGCATCAAGTTGGTCTCAAAGGAAACACGCAAAAGTCGATAGTGAAAAACACCAAACACTGTAATATAAACAATAACTGACATGAAACTTTGATTAGCCATGACGATGTTTGCGCACCAGAAAGGCGTAATGCACTTGTGTTTCTTTCATTTGTGAAAAGCAAAACTCGTGTGCTGAAGTTTGTTTGTTGTTTCTCTCAGCAATACTACAGTGAGTGAGTTTAGAATTACGCCGCACTCAGCAATATTCCAGCTTTATGGCGGCGGTCTGTAAATAATCGAGTCTGGACCTGACAATCGATCTACGCAACCCAGTGATTTACAGCATGAACATCGATCCATGCAATTGGCATACTGTCAAGCATGGGTTCCTGAAGACCAGTTATTTCATCAGAAAGACTTACAGCTATATTGCGGCGGTCTGTAAATAATCGAATCTGAAACAGACAATACAGTGAGCAACAACATCAGCATCTACGCAACCCAGTGATTGACACCATGAACATCGATCCATGCAATTGGGATACGATGGCATGTGTCAACCGAGTCAGCGAGCCTGACCGCCCGAACCCGTTAGTCGCCTCTTACCACAAGCATGGGTTACTGAATACCAAGTCTAAACCGCAACTTCACGCTTGGGCTCAAAAAGCAACGCAAACAAGCAAACCTTTGTGTGATAAACAGTTTTATTGAAATACAGCAAACAAGGCGTTCATCATTTGATATAACACTAATTCCTTGGTAGGCGTTGGTGTCTATTGGCCATTCATTCGACTCTGACAAAATCCTCATCTGTATTCAAAGATTAAGTGAGTTTGTTTTACATCACTCAAACAATACTATAGCAAGAACGACATCTCAGTTGTATTAAAGTGTGGTTCGATTAACTTCAAAGTCAGAGTAACTATAGGGCTGAGGTTGCTATGACTTGTTTTGTAAACCTGCCGATCACCCAAATATATAAATCTGGAAATGTACAAAAGGCATTTTTATTATCGTCGAGCATATTATGTCTTAGTCAGTTGAGAGAACTATAATTAGCTCTGGTGTTGGCTAATACCGCATATACAAATATGACCAATTGAAATATATGTATTTGTAAACTAACCTTGAAAGCGACGTCACTTTCATGTGAACAATATTCGGCTCTCGCTCTCTGAATGTTTCACAAACTCACTGTTACCTCTTAAATTACTATCTTAGAATAGTGATTGCAATAACGGGACTGCCTTAAGAGATTCTTTTCAGTGTGTCTTCAAACCATCATGATAAATGGGTGAACCAAGGCAGTCACTGAGGTGTGGTGTCCCTCGTGGGTTTGTACTGAGACCCCGTGTTTTGCCGTTTTTTTTATCACCAAACCTCTCTGTGCCACTCGGAGAATAATAATTTTCACCAGGCTAATTACAACTGTAAAGCCATTTCCCACAGCAATAGAAGCTACAGTGGCTGCGGTTACTTTTTCAAGGTATGGATGTAATCTAACATGTTAGTGAAGGAAAGCGAATCGATACAAAACTCAGCCAAGACCGCATAACAACAACATCTCCAAAGTAGGTGTCTGTGGGATAAGGAACACTTTGAAAATGCGAATACACCTGACAAGGGATATTTCTATCACAAACGTTCTGCCGTGAGTAATATACGCCTCGAGTGATGTTCCTTTAATGGCTGCTGCCACCACATTGTAGTGTGTCCATGACACACAGACTATATCTCCATGTCTTAAATTACGTCCGAGGCGGTGGAGTGAGTGAGTGAGTGAGTTTAGTTTTACGCCGCACTCATCAATATTCCAGCTAAATGGCGGCGGCCTGTAAATAATCGAGTCTGGACCAGACAATCCAGTGATCAACAGCATGAGCATCGATCTGCGCAATTGTCAGCGAGCCTGACCACCCGATCCCGTTAGTCGCCTTTTACGACAAGGATAGTCGCCTTTTATGACAAGAATGGGTTGCTGAAGACCTATCCTACCCCGGATCTTCACGGGTCCCGAGGCGGTGGAGGAGCCTAGTGGTTAAAACGTTTGCTCGTCACGCTGAAGGCCCGGGTACATGGGTACAATGTGCGAAGCCCATTTCTGGTGCCCCCCGCCGTGATATTGCTGGAATATTGCTAAAAGCGGCGTAAAGCCATACTCACTCACTCACTCGCTCAAATTACCTCTGTTCTTATTAACGTCAACAGGTTACCGATCAAAAAAGGAACCATACGGAGCCCTGTGATTAATCCAACAGTGTTTGGTGTCCATGCATAAGCAGCTGAGGGACAATAAAATAACACGTCGTAATTGTGATTGGGGTAATGCTTCATGACATAGCTGGTTATTCAACATATTCCACATTAGACACATGTAACGAACGGTTCAATAGTGCAAGTAGACTGACGGTTACTTAACACACATTAAAAACACAAAATGTCGGCACTGTATGTTACAGCGGGTAGGCTGCGATAGGGTTTACACCCCATGGTTGGATGTTTTATCGAAGAGACAAACATTATAATAGATAATGCCATTTGAAAATATTTCACACTGCTGCCACCATTAGTTTTACAAATTAATCTTACTCGATCTGAGATGAAAACACCCGACCACAAAACCTATGACTGTTACACACAGTGACGTTGAAAGAGATTTGCTGTTTCGTCCACGTACAATAGAGATATGTTAACCACTTGAAAAATCACAGGGGAAAGACGACATTCTCCGTAGACAGATTCTGCCGTGGCGCAGACAAAGGATGTTTCAGCTGAACAAGCCTTTGCACAGGAGTCGGGGTCAGATATAGAAAGTTTTTTATCATTGTAGCCCATTATACCAACGCCCGTCAGCTGCGTGTAGTCGTTCCCGTATGAACTGCACGCTGGAATAGACAATTCGAATTATATAAAACACAGCGAACACAGAGATATCAGTACATCGAGGAGAGTTCTACGGATATACAACTTCTTTATTATTGATATGAGCTACGTTTCGGTGTAGATTCTAACACCGTTATGAATCAAGTGATGTACAATACTGCAGGCAAGGGTAAATATACGTGGTAGAGTTTGAACAGTAAGTTGACTGATGTTTACACAATTAATAAGGTTGATGCACATGGTTGAAGAATGTTTACATAAGAAGGCAATTGTTACACAGGCAGATTTAACTATAGAGGGATTAATGGGGGAGCCAGTCATTATGGCCAGGAGAATAATAGGATTAAGGTTGCTTGGTGATGAGTGGTAGGCAATGGGGATGAAATATCCCTTGTCTCTGTTTATGGCCGGTTGGAGTCTCTTGATTTGAATGGTTTCTAGTAGTTTCTTGATCTTGTAGTGGGTGTGATTTCTGGTGAGTACATTGATGCTGTTCCGAAAGATGCTGTAGTCTGGGTGAGCTTGAGTGTGGCCAGAGATGGCGGATTTGGAGTCTTTCTTCTTCACATAGGCTTGATGTTCTTTGACAGGCAGGGGTCTTGAGGTTTCAGGCCTTCAGCAAGCACAGCGATATCTTCTTGCGAGAACCGGGCGGTGGGTAGCCTGGTGGTAAAAGTGTTGGCTCGTCTCGCCGAAGACCCGGGTTCGATTTCCCACATAGGCACAATGTGTGAAGCCCATTTCTTGTGTCCCCCGTCGTGATATTGCTGGAATATTGCTAAAAGCGGCGTAAAACTAAACTCAGTCAGTCAGTCAGTCTTGCGAGAGCCTCTTGCTGCTGAGGTTGATCACGGCTCACTTGAGGTATTCGTCTCTGGGTGGGGAAATTCGGGTGCTGGTGAGTGGTCTGAGCTTGATACATTTGTGATGTGGGTCTAGGCTCTGGTTAGCTTTTGTCTGGAGCTGGGCTGGGTGGAGTAGTTCTCGGGGTGGATGATGCTCTGGAGCTCTGGTTGCTGTTCTCCGATGTTGGTGAGGGTTAGGGCCTTGCGGTGGTGCTGGATTCGCTCGCGGACTGTTCAAACTCAACCATGTATGTATAGCCTTGCCAGAAAGTATTGTACATCACTTGCTTCATAACGGTGTTAGTAGCTCATATTAAAAATAAAGAAGTTGTATATCCATAGAACTCTCCTCGTTGTTCAAAACACCAACTTCTAAATGCCACTCAAAGAGGTTAGATGTCAGCATAAAAGAGACTTCCAAAACGCGCCAACGGCTGTGCATGTGGTTTACCCCGTGACTAACGTGCCTCGGACAAACCATTGCCGTGTTGCATGTGTATGATCCACTTAAAACTCAGGACTCCATTGATTTGTTTAATGATGAAATCTTGTGTATTGCTGTTTGATTTTCCTTACCATGGTTTAAGTTTGGAAGACAATTGTTAATTTTATAATATTGCATTTATATGTGTTGGTTTCACACTGAAAGTTTGAAGATACATTTCTGGGTTAATTAATTGTTTCAGTTTGGAATTCATCAAGCAATAGAAAACAGATATATACTGACGGGCAAAAGAAACTTTCTCCTCGTTCAATTTGATCTCACTTAAAAATAACAACAAGAAGTCGTAGTTTGCAATTTATAATTTGTGAAACAATGACATAGGCACGTGCTAAGTAAAACGTTCGATTTTTAACAAGGCTGATAACTTATTGAACAGGTTTTGGTCGACAGAGAATTCACGATCAGTGGGTCCATTCGGGAAACACAGCAAAGCGTGAACAGAAGTTTCTAATAGCGAGTTTGCCCACCTCTGGATAGAATACATGTAAACACACTTCTTCTGACTGAAGTTGTGAGGCGTCTGATGACGTCAGCTGGGATTCGCCTCCAATCTTCGACAAGGGCTTGAGTCATTTTGATGTACTGTAACTGGTGGATTCTGTCTCCGTTGAATAACTCTATCAAGGTGGTCCCATACGTGCTCGATTGGCGACATGTCAGGAGAGCGTGCAGGCCATGGCAGAACGTTGACGTTGTTGGTGTGAAAGAAGTTCTGGACAACTCGAGCGACCATGTCTGTCTGTCAGCAGCGTCAATCGGTACGGTCGGTAGGCCCTGATACCATAGGCCCGTAGTCTCCTTGACACCATCCTTCGACTCACTGGGTGACCGAGCGCTGTTGAGGCTGATGCCGTTACCGTCAGGAAGCGGTTTCTATGGTGTAACGTGCTCAGGCGGCGGTCTTCCTGCGCAGTTTTCACCCGGGGACTGCCTGTCTGGGGCCTGTCTGAGGTCTGGCCAATTTGTTGGTAGCGCCGACTAAGGTTCCTGACGGATACAACGGAGCAATTGAAGGTTCTTGTAACGTGACCCGTTGTAGCGCCCATTTGCAGCATTCCGATCACCCTCTCTCGCTCTGCTGAAGTTAACCTCGGCATTGTAAAGTGGTTTTCTGTTGAAGTACGATCTACTCTGTGCTGTGAGGTGGTTTTATACCATGCATTCACGTGCATTTTACCCTTACTTGCAAAACACGTACATTTTGCTGTTTTCGATGCAAAGTTGTCAAGAGGTGCGTTTGAGCGGTCAGAATCGAACGCTTGTTGTTGGCAATAACTATGGGGCAATTTGCATTTGATTATATTTTCTTATGTTAATATTATGAAAACAATTGCAAGAGAAAGTTTCTTTTGCTCATCAGTATATAATCTGAATTTCAAGAGATGAACTGTTACGTCGTAAATTGTAATAAAAACGCAAATTGTAATACTTTCAGCAAGTTGTAATAAACTTGACGTAAATTGTAATAAAAACGTAAATTGTAATAAAAATTGACGTAAATTGTAATACGCAAATTGTAATAAAAATTGATGTAAATTGTATAAGAATTTTCGTTGCGGTAAAATGTAATAAATATTTACGTAAATTGTAATAAGTTTAATCACTCGTAAATACGCGGGTGTTTTACGTTGCATTTCATGCATCAAATAAACTTGTTAGGGCGATAACTCAAGAAAGAAAGATGGATTTTGTTCAAATTTGGTACCTAGTTATATTGGCGAGATTCACCGACACAAGTGAAATGGAGTGACCTTGAGATAATTTTCAAGGTCACAGCAAAAATCCGAGGGTTTTGCCAATATAAAGATTGTTAGCGGGATAACCCAAGAATGAATTGACAAATCTAAGCTAAATGACGAAAATGATATTCGTCCTGATATATAATCGATATAAACTGTCCTCTGTATCATGTCTTTCCGCGAATATCTTTTGAGGTTTGGATATGTATACATATAAAGTGGGGGTGGGGTAAGGGTCGGTTTCTAACGGGTGTGTCTAACATACTTGCATGCATGTAGAGTCGGAGAGGTGGGTTATAACGGGTATAACTACGAGGGACGTTCAAATAGTAGTCAGCCTCACCTAGAATATGATAGAAATGCAGCTGTTTTTATGTTATATTTTTCAACATATTATCTGTCAGCCTCAAGCAAATTGGTTTTGCTATGTTGCAGCCTCACGATCCCCATTTTGTGAGATTTTGTATCTTGGCTTGGTACTCCCCAAAAACGTAAAATCTGCAATAAAATGCATCACAAACTTCAGGAAACAAAATATGCTATGTTTGAGATTGGTAGAGGTCGGCTAGAATCAAACTTAGATATTAAACTGCACAAAAAGCAATTTCAAAACTACAATCGCTTGTTCAAATGACTCCCCATTCTGTTTACTGAAAGAACTCGAGAAAGAAATGATGGATTTTGTTCAAATTTGGTACCAAGGTTTATTGACTGGAGATTGGAGATTTACCGACACCACTTAGTTTAGTGACCTTGAGGTCATGTTAAAGGTCACAGCGAAGGTGTAACAGTTTTGCACATGCCAAGCTTGGTAGCCGCGAACTCAGGAAAGTATTAATAGATTTTGATCCAATTTTATATCAAGGTGTATTGGCGGGATTCCCCAACACCAATTGATTGGGAAACTTGTGCTCATTTTAAGTTCACAGTGAAAAGTGTTTTGCACATGTCTAACTTTTTAGTACGAAAATACAAGACAGAATTAATATGTTTTGCTTTGGAAGTATCGTCTAACGCCAGTCGAAATCAGTGACCTGCGGATTATTTTCAAGGTCACAGCTAGTATTCTTGCGATATCTCCAAACCTATTGGATGGAATTTGTTCGCATTTTGTATCAAGTCATCAGATGACAGTTTCGGTAACGTTTACATAATTTTCAGGGTCAGACAGAGGATAATTGCAACATTCAGATATCGACATGTGGCGGGGGTAATAGCTATGTTTGTGACAAACGCTTTGTCATTACTAATTTTCAGATTTTTGTTAGCATATGGTTTCTATAATTTCATGTTAATTCTACCAGCTGTGAAATTATTCGTGACACGTCTTAAAAAAGCCAGAAATTATTTGTGTATGTCTCGAAAATTAAAGTTAATTGTTTTTCATTATGGAGTTGACGCTGATGTTGACGCAAGGACATATTTTACGAGCAATAGCTTTCAATAATTTAATGTTATTTCTATTACATTTTGAAGTTCTTCATAGCATATCCCAAAATAACAGGGTATTGTTTGTTTACGCTTTGAAATGTACGTTTCTGTTTCTTCATTTTCGAATTATTTTCAATATTGACGCAATGACATATTTGAAGTTAATTTCATGTTTTAATCATATGTGATTTATTATGATTTATGTTTCGATCATACATTCATATATTGCGCTGTCACAGTTATAACCTGGTTCGTATTATTTTCTTCATCATATTACTACATATTATTTTATTTTTATGAGAGGGAATTTTAAGTTACATTTGGTAAGGATATCATAAATCGCTGTCGATATGCAATTTGATTGATGCGGGTAAAATATCACTTTGTCATGGTGACATGACATCATGAACAATGTTATGATGTTTCGTTGCTTCTAAGAAGCCGCCTTCTAAATAAATACAACGATGACGGCCTTTGTTGGA